CAAAGGCCTGGGAAGGGTGCCCACAGGGTAAAGTGAACATCAACAAGACGAGCTGAAAACCCTGGCTGGGGCTTTGGCAAAATAGCTGACTGATGCACATTTTAAAACTATGAAAAGGAAGAGGAAAGGAGAGAGAACTCAAATGAAAGGTGAGTGAGAAATCTAACCACGGTGAGGGGAAGGCTTTGCCCGGGGAAAGAAAGAGAAGAATGTTGGTGACAATAGAATCTTGTAAAAGATACAAAGGCTAAGAAATAAAAACCCATCACAATTACGAAAGGAAAGACTGATTCTAAGGGAAGAAAAAGAGAGTAGGAATCTTAGAAAGTAAAGAAGAAAGGAAGACACCATTAAAGAGAATGAAAAAAAAACAACAACAACAACAACAGGCTGACCTTGATGAGAAATTGTTTAGTCTAGGAGAACCTATCTTTAAACAAAGAAGAAGCCACAGATATGCAGGATGTATTCACTAGACCAAATTTGCCACAAATATCCGATACACCTAGATTTTAATACTGATGGTGTGTGTGTGTGTGGGGGGGTGGGTTCATTTTGTCATTTGGGAATTGTAGTTGCTGGGATTTATAGTTGACCTACAATCAAAGAGCATTCTGAACTCCACCAACGATGGAATTGAAACAAACTTGGCACACAGAACTCCCACAACCAACAGAAAATACTGGAAGGGTTTTGTGGGTATTGACCTTGAGTTTTGGAGTTGTTGTTCACCTGCATCCAGAGAGCACTTTGAACTCAAACAGTGATAGATTTGGACCAGACTTGGCACAAATACTCAATATGAACACTCTTTGAGTTTGGGGAAAATAGACCTTGACATTTGGGACTTGTAGTTTCTGAGATTTATAGTTCACCTATAATAAAAGAGCATTCTGAACCCCACCAACTATAGCATTGAGCCAAACTTCCAACACAGCATCCCCATGACATACAAAATACTGTATTTTCTCATGGTCCTTGGCAACCCCTCGGCCACCGCCTAATGATCCCCCCAGGGATCCCAACTCCTAGGTTGAGGAACACTGCTCTATGCCCTATTTCTTCTTTTAAAATATTCTCAACCTTTGTTTATGTAAAAAAGCTTGTATTTCTTCAGCTGGAAGATACACTTTCTTTCTAGATAAACATCTCTAAAAATGGAGTGCATCTTACAATCAGTGGCATCTTACAGTTGAAGAAGTATGGTGTATAGAAAACCAGTTCAAGGTAAATAACTGCTGTAGTAAAAGAAAGCTTTTTAGTAGCTTTGGAAGTTACTCACACTTTAATTATACCACATACATTGTTTTAAGGGTGATAAGGCTCTGAAATTGTCTTATGTATTAGTGCATCTCTTAAGGTTTTTTGCCCTTTTTCAGTATATCATCGAGAGTGCACGTCAGAGGCCCCCCAAAAGAAAATATTCATCTAGTGGAAGGTGAGAAGATTTTAATACCTAAACAGCAGGATTCTGGGCAATCCAAGACTAAGATGTGTACTTGGTTACAAGCTTTATGGTTTGTTACATTAGACCTGATACTCAAAAGACTCATTTTTTTATTTTAGAAAATCGGTATTTCAAAAATTGTATGAACTTTATCTAGAAGAATGTGATAAAGAACCTGAAATAAAGGTAAGTGTATAATAGTAAATGTTTTATCATGAAGTGATCAATCCCCTAGTCTGTTTGAGAGCAATGTGGCATTAAATATTGCTTGGAGTATTTTGTCTTTAGAATACCTTTTTCCAAAGTGCACATACTATTTTGTGTAATTGTTTGAATTTTGTTCTCACAGTTAACCTCTAGACCATGGAAATGACTTGGGCAGCAGTCACAATTGCCTGCTAACTAAAACGAAACTCACCACATAGTTTCCTATGTACCGTATATTTCGGGGTAATAGGCGACTGGGCGCATTAGACGACCCCCCAACTTTTCAATTAAAATTTTCGATTTTTGGATATACTCGCCCTACTAGACGACCCCTCTTTGCCAGCCCCTTCAGGCCCCAAAGCCTCCTTTCCTGGGCTTTGAGGCAGCTTTTCGGCGCCATAGAGCCTCCCCTCCGCCTGCAGCCAGGCTTCGCCACAGCCAGCCAGCCACGTGCTCATCCCTTCCTGCTTTGGGTCAAAATAATAATAAAGTTTTCCTGAGTTGCAGTTGCAGCTATACGCCTGTAGGTGTCAGCAGAGAATTTTCTCTATTCTCTTTGCTGCTTTACGGAATCCATGAAGCCTCAAAGCCTGGGAAACTGGAGGAGTGGGGGAGTGGATAGAGAACGCTAGAACTCCCTCTTCCTTTCCCCCCTCCCTTTTTTTTTGGAGAAGGGACAGGATACTGGCATAAATTATGCTGGGGGTGTTGAGTGATGTTGAGCCTGGCAGGGGCAGGGCTTCAGAGAGAAATGAGAGATAGAGTGCAGGTATGTGTGTCCTGTGTTTTTTCCTCTCTTCCCTTGCACTTGCTGTCTCTGCTGGATTGATGGCTATTCCCCCCCCCCCGCCTGCTTCTCTGCAAAGTCACTCTCTATCTCTCCTGAGGAGAGAGAACCTGTGTGTGTGTGTGTGTGTGTGTCCTGTGCTTCTTAACCAGCCCGAGCGACTCACTCCCTTCCCTTGCACTCAGTGCCTCTGCTGGATTGATAGCTATCCCCGCTGCCTGCTTCTCTGCAAACTCACTCTTTGGAGAGAAGCAGGGTTCCCTCTCCTCAGGAGGGATAGAGAGTGAGAGAGCGACGTCAGCATCGCGCCTGGCATTGGGAGAAGGGCAGGCAGGGGGGATAGCCATCAATCCAGCAGAGGCAGCGAGCGAGCGAGGGGGAAGAGAGCGAGCCGCTTGGGCTGGTTAAGAAGCACAGGAACACACGCGCGCGCACACACAGGTTCTCTCCTCATGAGAGATAGAGACTTTGGAGAGAAGCAAGCAGAGGGAGATAGCCATCAATCCAGCAGAGGCAGCGAGCGCGGGGGAGGAGAGCGGGCGCTCGGGCTGGCTGGTTGGTTAATGGCTTTCGTATATGTGTGTGCTTTTTCATATGTATGTGTGTACATGTGCGTGTTGCTCGGCTCCAGAACTATCAGATTAAACTTGAATCGAGGGGAGAAGATTATTATTAAAACAAAGGGAGCCCCTCAGTTAAGTTGAAGCCTGGCAGTGGGAGACAAGCAGCGCTGGAGGAGCCCAGCAGCAGCTGCTGCTGCTTCGGGCGCCCTGCTCTAGCGCAGGGCAGCTGCTCGCCTCCCTCGCCTTGACCCAAAACAGGAAGTGATTTTTTCTATCCGGCATACTAGACGACCCCCAAGTTCAGCAATGATTTTCGAGGGTTAAAAAGTCGTCTATTACCCCGGAATTTACGGTAGCTTATTTTGATTTTTAGTATTTAGTATGTATTTCTATTCACTTTTAATTTGGAGAAAGATGCAGTGTAAATCCAGAGAATGATGAAATAATGATATAAATATATGTTGTCCTGTTGAAATAAAAATATGTATTATGAAGCAAAAGTAGATTTTTGCATGAGAATTATGAGAAATTACTTATAGTGGTGTAAGCTTCAGTATTCACTGTTTTCATGAGTGGCACCCATTTTAAAGCAGAAGCTGAGACGAAATGTGAACTTATTGGAGAAACTTATTATGCAAGAAACCCTGTCATGCCTTGTCGTGAATCTGTATCCAGGAAATGAAGGCTATTCACTGATGCTCAGAGGAAAGAATGGCTCAGGTAATATTTGCAGTTAGTAGTTCTTGAATTCTTGTTCGTACTGCAATCTGGCTTTGAAAACAATATTTTATATTGCTGTCTTCAGGTAAGAAATAATAACTATAGTAATTATATTTATTTATTTGCTTTATTTCTATACCGCATTTTTCAGCCTGATAAGGCGACTCAATGCGGTTTACACAATGAAAATTATCACAATAACATCAATACTATCACAACAATATCCTAAACAATTAAAACACATCATATACAGCAACAAAATCAAACAATCATTAACAATTCATAACGCCTCAATATGAAATCAGATCCGTTCTCGTAATCCTTGTGCCATTCCTGAGATCAAATTTTACCATCCTCCTATATTCAGTTGCACTGATTAGCCAAACGCTTGTTCATAGAGCCAGGTCTTAACCTTCTTCCGAAACGCCAGCAGCGAAGGGGCCTGTCTGATGTCTACAGGTAGGGCATTCCATAGCCGAGGGGCCACCACCGAGAAGGCCCTGTCCCTCGTCCCCGCCAACCGCGCCTGTGACGCAGGCGGGACCGAGAGCAGGGCCTCCCCGGACGATCTTAATGTCCTAGTCGGTTCATAGGTGGAGATGCGTTCGGAGAGGTAAGTAGGGCCAGAACCGTTTAGGGCTTTATAGGCTAACGCCAGCACCTTGAATTGTGCCCGGTAGCAAATTGGCAGCCAGTGGAGCTGGCTCAACAGAGGAGTGGTATGCTCCCTGAGTGCCGCTCCCGTTAGCAACCTGGCTGCCGAGCGCTGGACCATCTGAAGCTTCCGGGCAGTCTTCAAGGGCAACCCCACGTAGAGCGCGTTGCAGTAATCTATGCGGGATGTAACCAGAGCGTGGACTACCGTGGCCAAGTCAGACTTCCCAAGGTACGGGTGCAGCTGGCACACAAGCTTTAGGGCTCAGCCATGAGTCCAGGATCACTCCCAAGCTGCGAACCTGCGTCTTCAGGGGGAGTGTAACCCCATCTAACACAGCTGTAACCCTATGCCCTGTTCGGCCTTACGACTGACCAGTAGGACCTCTGTCTTGTCTGGATTCAGTTTCAATTTGTTAGCCCTCATCCAGTCCGACACAGCGGCCAAGCACCGGTTCAGGACCTCGACAGCCTCCTTAGTAGTAGGTGGAAAGGAGTGACAGAGTTGGACATCATCTGCGTACAGATAACACCGCACCCCGAAACTCCGGATGATCTCCCCCAGCGGCTTCATGTAGATGTTAAACAACATGGGGGACAGTATTGAACCCTGCGGGACCCCACAAGACAATGGTTGTGAGGACGAGCAGTTGTCCCCCAACAACACCTTCTGGGTACGATCCTCTAGGAAGGACCTGAGCCACTGCAAAACAGTGCCACCAAGGGCCATTCCCGCGAGGCGTCCCAGAAGGATACCGTGGTCGACGGTATCGAAGGCCGCTGAGAGGTCCAGCAGAACCAACAGGGACACACTCCCCCTGTCAAGCTCTCGCCGGAGATCATCCACTAAGGCGACCAAAGCTGTCTCGGTACCATGTCCCGGCCTAAAGCCAGACTGTGCCGGATCCAGATAATCCGTGTCTACCAAGAATACCTGGAGTTGTGAGGCCACCACACGTTCCAGGACTTTGCCCAAGAAGGGGAGATTGGAGACAGGCCGATAGTTGACGAATTGAGTGGGGTCCAGTGATGGTTTTTTCAACAGCGGTTTTATTACAGCTTGTTTTAGGCTGGCTGGAATTTTGCCTTCCCGAAGGGAGGCATTAACCACCACCTTCACCCACTCGGCCAATCCCCCTCTGGCCTCCTTAAGAAGCCAGGATGGGCAGGGGTCTAGGATGCATGTGGTTGCTCTCATCTCCAAGTATCTTGTCCACATCCTCGGGTTTCACCAATTGAAATGAATCCATCAAAATCGGACAAGCAGGTGCTCATGCTACATCCTCAGAGACTGCCATTAATATGGTATCCAGGTCGGAACGTATCAAAGCGACTTTGTCCGCAAAGAACCGAGCAAATACTCCACAGCGGGCCGTCGAGTTGTCAGGGTTCCCATCCGGAATGGTGGGATTTAATAGACCTCTGACAACTCGAAACAACTCAGCCGGACGGTTCTTTGCGGACGCAATATTGGCCGCAAAGAAAGATTTCTTTGCCGCCTTTATTGCCACGGCATATGCCCTTAGAAGGGCAACAAACCGTGTTCGATTTAACTCGCTCGGGTCCGAACGCCACACGCGCTCTAGTCTCCTCTTCCTTCGCTTCATCGCTGCCAGCTCCTCGGTGAACCAAGGAGCTGGTTTAGCTCGGCTACTTGAGAGGGGACGTTCCGGAGCAATCGTGTCTATTGCCCTAGTCATCTCCCCATTCCAGAGAGACACCAGGGCATCGACAGGATCACCTACCGAGGTGGCGGGAAAATCCCCAAGAGCCATCAGGAATCCGTTCAGATCCATAAGCCTCCTGGGGCGGACCATCTTAATGGGTCCTCCACCTTTAGAGGTTAGGAGGTGCAGTAAGTCTAAATCTGACCAGATAGTGGTCGGTCCATGGCAACGGAGAGATGGACAACTCCTCAACACCGCCACCTTGCTCCCATCCCTGACAGAAAACCAGATCCAATGTGTGTCCAGCACTGTGGGTGGGGCCAGATACCCGTTGGGACAGCCCCATGGTTGCCATGGAAGACATGAAGTCCTGAGCCGCTCCTCCTAGGGTAGTCTCGGCGTGTACATTGAAGTCCCCCAGCACAAGAAGCCGTTGGGACTCCAATGCCAGGCTCGAGACCACCCCTGCTAGCTCAGGTAGGGAGACCGTAGTGCAGCGAGGTGGGCGGTACACTAACAGAATCCCTATTCTGTCCCGGTCACCCACCCTCAGGTGGACACATTCGAAATTAATTGACTGCGGGATGGGGCCTCTGGTCAGGGGGATTGAATTTTTATAGACTACCGCAACTCTGCCTCCCCGCCCTCCAGATCTCGATTGGTGCTGTACGGAGAAACCTGGTGGGCAAAGCTGGGTCAAATTTACTCCTCCAGCTTCGTCCAACCAGGTCTCCGTAATGCACGCCAGATCTGCCCGTTCCTCCAAAATTAAATCTTGGATGAAGGATGTTTTACCGTTGACAGATCTGGCATTCAGCAGCACCATCTTCAACCCAGAGGGACCGCCATCCTGGGTACACCAACTTACCACGTCAGGAGACCGATTACAGGTAGTTAAATTTCTTCTTCTGTCCCTAGGCCGAATTTGAGTTGTTGAATTTTTACTATTTCTAGGCCGAATTGACGGTCTCCCTTTCCTGCATCTCCCCCTCCCCGTTATAGTTTCTATGGGGACCCCTCGGCTAATGGAATACCCCTCTACTTCCATATTGCACTTCAATTTTATAGCTTCAGCCCATGATTCATTCCAGATTGTTTGCTCTGTTGACTTTCGCTTTAACCATACTACCTCATTCCAATCCTTTCCCACCCCTGCTTTGTTATTGCTAGGATCTCCCCACCCGTTCCACCCTCTATCTCCTTCCCAGTCCACCAAAAATACTATTAGTAGATACCAGGGGATGAGAGCCGACATGGGTGAGCAGCGCTGGTACGGCGTTGGTCCGGTCACTAGAATTCAAGTAACAGCAGGTATTAAAGTGCTAGTTGTTAGAGCTAAGAGTTATTAAAGTGCGCTAGACCATCACGTAGTTGATGAACTAAAGCGCTGTGGTGGAGGAGTTGGGGAGTTAGCAGCGTTGGCCAAAGATGGTTGTACTAAAGTGCAATAACAGTGCAACAGCAGTGCAATTTGTACAATCAATCCTTAGTCTTGTTGGTATAACTTAATTCCCAATTAGCCCCCCTCCCCCCAATACATCAATCCCAGGGGCAGGAGGTTAAGAGACTATAAATTTAGTGGGAATCCACAGAGTATAATTGATGTGAGACTTATAATGGAAATGTTAGATTGAGGATCGCCACAATGGCTTCGGATCTGCTATTAGGTTAGTTCACGTTCCTTTCCGGTAGTAGAGGCGATAACATAATAGATGGCAATTCAGTGGTGGCGGCCAGTGACAGTCTCGTAACAGCAGCTGTAACAAGAATTCCAGCCAACTAGGAGACGGGGTAGCAGCCCTGAGATGACAATTTCGCTGGTGCTGGATCGCAGCCGGACTGAAAACCATGAGAGAGCCGCTGAGCTCCAGATGGTCGGCTCTTTTAAATGATCAGGTTCTGTCAGCCAGGTTCACTCAGCCAGGCTCACTCAGGCAGTAGTGGGCGCGGGGAAAAGTCCTGCCCGACCGCTCCCGGGACCTCCGTCAGGGATGGAGGGCGGATGTGACGTCACTAGAGGCTCAGAGGTGTTGTAATCCCGGACGCGCGGAGAAATCCAGAGGAATCCAGCCAGGCCGCTTCCGGGCTTCCGCTGAGGGTAGAGCACGGAGGTGGCGCCACTTAGAGGCGCGTAGGAGTCATCACACAGGGGGCGCAGAGGAACCCAGCTAGGCCGCTCCTAGAGACTCCGCCAAGTTGGACGCGCTAAGGCGCGGAGATAACGCCCAGGTGAGGTGCGGGAGGATCTCGGCACAGCCGTGTGGAAGGATCCTGCCTGCCGCCGCTGGTTGTTGCAGAAGCGCGCTGGGATGAAGAAGCGCGCTGGGATGAAGGATGAGCCAGCAGCCGCAACCGGGTGGTCTATTAGTAATGGTAGCGCGGAGGAGGAAGCGCGGAGGGGCGCCAAAATGGAGGCGCAGGGACACGCGGAAGACTCAGCCCGGTCACTGAGGGGACGCCGGAAGCGCACCAGAACCCAAGATGGCAAGTCCAGCAATTCGGCGACTCCGGCAGTTCAGAGATCCGCGAGCTGCGGGTCGGGAATGCAGCAACGGGCCTACAACCACTGTAAACAATGTAGTATAAAACTTGCAAAACATAATTTGGCTTTCTACATATTTTGTGTGCTACAGTCGGTTATTCTTTCCATAATTAAAAGAAGGATGAAATTTGTCTTGC